ACACACACACACACACACACCTAGGCGGTGTCCCCCTCCTCCTCTCTTCCGCAATGCCCACTGTAGGCATTTTTTTAATTTTGCCTTGGGGTATAGTTATCCTTTCACTGTGGTGGTGGTGGTGTTGGTGGTGGGGGAGGGTTAAGATACACTTTAAATAAAAAATAGTAATACTATGAATATTAGAATGTTTTTTACTTAGTAATACAAGTAGCCACAAGTGCATGCATACCATCAGAATTAAACTATCTCTCTAAACTGAGGCTGTTCTCCAATCAYAGCACAATTATAATTTATCTGCCTTTATAATCCAGCTGCAGATTATACCATCTCGTAAAATTCAGGTGCATACTTTTCTGTACATGGGTGTGTGTTTTTGTTGTCTGACAAAGAAACAAACATCTGAATGACAATTTTTTTTATTTTGCTTTTCTATTTCAGAGCCAAAGCTGTAAGAGTAATTCAGATGAAGATGTAGAAAGCCTCATTAAATGCAAAAAGAACTGTAACAAGAATTTATGTAGCACAGTTAGAAGGAACATTTCTTTTTCTTCAGAATGCTGTTGATCCATGGAAGATATTTGGAAATATCTGTGTAGACATTGGGTATATCTGGGTAGTTGCAGTTGGAGTTTCTATTGAAAGACACAACACCAACTGCTGCCCCGTTGCACACGAGAGGACCACCAGAGTCACCCTGTGTGGAAGAGAAATCTTTATTTGACATTTATTATATGGTGGGCAGAAGTTCACATACAAACAATCAGAAACCATACCTGACAGAATCCTTTCTTTCCGTAATATCCACCAGCACAGATTACATTGGGAGGAAGCTTATTTTTCCATTTTTTCTCACAGATTTGTGAATTTACAACAGACACATTCACCACTCTCAGATCATTTACGATGTCATTGTTAGATCTTTCTGTTATGCCCCATCCAGCCACAGAGCAGGTTTCCTTGTCCCTTTGGGGCATTTCAGAAGAYGGAAGAGGAATTATTTTAACTCTGTTGTCTGGCAGAGCATTCTCGGACAGCTAAAAAAAGCAGAAACAAACACTTAATGAATGAAAACCTAACTTCAGACCTAATTAAACTGAAAGAACCAACACCTGTGAGAAGACAATGGGAACAGATGACAGGGGAAGACCAAAGGAGAAACACAGGGAAGCAGGTAAATGAGGACACCAGGGAATATGAGCACAGAAGGGAAAAACAGATAAATACCAAAACTCTACACTTAAGTTTTCTAAAATGTTCCGTTTTCAAAACTTATTCAACAATTTTCTATGCTATAAAATAATGGTAAATTATGCATATACAAAAAAACCACATGGTTTGATTATTTTAAAGTAAAATATCAACCTTTATTTCACTTATCTGAACACCACATTTATCTTCTCTATAGGGTTGTGGTAGCCAATTTTGCCTCTCCAAAATACAGCACAGATCAGCTGGGGGTGGGGCTTAATGACCTAATGTATCAGTTATTTGTTTCCTCAACATTTGAGTTACATCCACATCTTGCTTTTGTTATTTTCATGTGACATTATTGATTAAAAAGAAGTATTTAATCAACATGTTGTTATTTTCTTTCCTTATAATGTTTCAGCTACTGATGGCCTCAGTAAACAGAAGAATAAAGAAATGTAAAAATAAACATAAATGTTGCTGTTATGAATAAACATTTCTAAGCATTCACCACTTCAGAAAATAACTGTTCAAGAACAAATTTATTTTAAAAATGTAGATCAGGACTATACTATCCTGGGGCGGCTGTGGTGCAGATGGCAGCCGACTTGGGACCAGAAAATCACTGGTTCAACTCCCCACCATGCCCACATGTTTTGGTGTCATTGAGCAAGACCGCTAACTGCTCTCCGAGTGCTTACATAACTGCGTGTTGCTCCACTTTGGTGTTTCTCACATGTGATGGGTCAAATGCTGAGCACAAATTTCATCATTGCATGGGAACATGCACTGATGACAAATAAAGTACATTTACATTTATTTACAATTATCTTTACTACATCTGCATAATCACTACATGCTTTATGTGCACTTTTATGTCATCTGTTTTCAGACCAAATGTGCCCTTAATAGTAATAAGTTTAATAATATATCTGTGGCGTTTATATTTATAATAATAATCTATTATAAAAATATGGTCAGCCACCACACTAACAATATAGCTTCTATCTTGTGCTAAAGTTCAGTAAAAGAGAAATAAAGCTGCTGTGGTGGAAGAAAGGTTTCATTTCAAATTTTAAAGGAAGGCTGGTGCTCTTATCAAAGTATCATCAAAGAATCTAAGAGAGAATATCTTTCAAACATTATCACAGAAAACWATAAGAATCATCATGTCCTGTTCAAAACAATTGACTCATGTTTGACCCATCTGTCTCTGTCCCATGCCCAGCAGTGTTTAACATATTTGAGCCGGCGACTTTGCCTGTGTTGGAGGGTTTGGTGGCCCGTATAAAACCATCTGGTTTCCCTCATTATGTGGTCCCTCCCCACTTTTTTAAACATGTCTTTCCTACCGTTGGACAGACAGTTCTGACTGTTATAAATAGTAGCCTGTCCTCTGGTGTTGTCCCTGTCAGCTTCAAACACGCAGTAGAACAACCTTTGCTGTAGAAGCCTGGCCTTGACAGCACTGTTTTAGCAAACTTCAGGCCTATTTCCAAGCTGCCATTTCTCTCTAAAATCTTAGAGAAAATTTTCTATACACAAATATAATCTTTTCTTGATTAACACAATATTTTGGAGGTTTTTCAGTCTGGTTTAAAACACAGCACAGAAACTGCCCTATTAAACATTTTTATTGACATTTTAATAGCAAATGATACTGGCAACTATGTTTTTCTTGTCCCTCTCGACATGACCGCTGCCTTTGATACTGTAGACCAGGGGTTCTCAAATGTTTTGGGTCTAAGGACCCCTTACAAGGGCGAAAAAATTCCAGGGACCTCCTCATAAACCCCATACTGGTTTAAAAGATAATTTATTGTCATTTCAACCCCTAAATGCCATGGGAATATATTTTTATTTAGTTTATTATATTTGTTTTATTAGTTTATTGTTCCCCATGCAAGTTTTACAATAAAACCAAATTGACAATTTAATGAAAAAATTTGATGACCCTCAAGATACATCTTGCGGACGCCTGGGGGTCCTGGGACACCAGTTTGAGAACCTCTGCTGTAGACCACCGCACTCTGCTGAATCGTCTGCAGCAGTTATTGGTGGAAGCGCCCTGGACTGGTTTAGGTCCTATTTTGCAGACAGGACTGATCAATTGCACCTTAAAATACCAAAGACAAAACGAAGCCTCAGAGGGGATGGAGCATTTTCAGTTGCTGCTCCGAATAATGATGGGATAAACGGCTCTTTGAAGGGATCTGGATCTTGGGGAGCRTTTGTTTCACAGAGCAGTTCAAAAGAGCCGTTTGATTTTGAACGAGTTACGTCATCACGTAGGGAAATACGTCATCATGTAGCCGTTCGTGATGATGTCATCCTGTCACGTGAGTGGAACCATGTGTTTGTCAAGCGTAAACCCCCTCCCCCTTTCCCCGTGAGCTTCTGTACTCCACAGCTCTGCCTGTTTTCCGTGAAAAGGCAAAGCAGAAGCGATTTAAGTATGAAAAAAATAAAGATTATATGAGGAATAAAATAAATAAAACAACAAATGGCTCGTTACTGCCCGTGACTCAGCTCCTATCGTTCATTGTAAAAGAGTCATTCAAAAGATTTGGATCGTTCACGAACGTCACATCTTTAGCTCCAAAGCTCTGGAACGAGCTACCCCTACAAGTCAGGCAGGCCTCCTCATTGCTTGTTTTTAAAACATATCTTAAAACTTATTTCTATTCACTGGCTTTTAACCTAGCATGAGACCTTGGTCTGTTTTAGCTGTTTTCATTGATTTGTTTTATTGTTTTGGCCCCTATATACAGCACTTTGTTTCAGCGGCCACTGTTTTAAAGGGCTTTATAAATAAAGCTGATTTTGATTTGATTTGATTTCAAACTCTTCAAGTACCAATTTAGTAGATTAAACTTTTTTTTTTTACTTGTGTCCTTCATCTGACTGAGGCAAAGGTTTGAATTAAGCTCAGTGTCTTTTTGGGGAGAGCAATGAGCCCTCTTATGAGGCCCTGCTCATATGGATCCTTCATCCATCTCTATTTACCATACCACACTCATTTAAGTGCAAATGTATTAAAGCAACTTATCTGATCTACACTCTAAAAATGAAATGTTGGATTTACTTAACCATGTTATGTGACCTGGTTCCACTTAACTGAGTTGAGTAAATTCAAAGCAACATGCTCATGTTCTTTGGCTAAAAAACTGGTATATTGCTTTGAATTTACTCAACTCAGTTACTGTAAGTGGAACCAGGTCACATAACATGGTTCAGTAAATCCAACATTTCATTTTTTACAGTGTAAAGTTAAATTCCCTAACATCATTGCTTACACTTCCTGCTAAAACATTAAAGGATTTTTTTTTTAGGTTTTGAGGTTGACTTATAGGTGGCGGGAAAAAAGACCCAAATGAAGGTGCACAGTGGCAAAAAGACGAACAGCATCTTCCACTTTACATGACTAATTAAACTGAAATAGTACAAGAGGAGGACAAACTGCCAACCCAGACACAGTTWATATGAAGCTGAGAAAAGACACAAAGCTCATGATGACTGAAAAACTAGAAATAGTTAAAAATTAATACAAATTGGGAAATTATTTACAACATAAAACAGGAAAAAACTATCAGGATACCAAAATGAATTCATAGGAGTATGTGAACCTTCGTAAAATAAAAGATGTCATAAATATTATAATAGAACGATTTTGCATGTTTAAATGCATTTTCCCCAAACTCACTACAAACCTTCGGTACAGTCAAAACAAACCTGTTATAAAACATCACAATATGCTCGTTCTTTTCTTGGTTGATGCAGAATTGTACTTATACACACTTACTTTCAGAAGCATGATGTCATGACCGTTGCTCAGATCTGTGTAATTTGGGTGTTTGCAGATGTAATCGACGTGTATTTTTCTTATATTTGAGCTCATCAGGTTGTGGCTTCCAAAAAGAACATCAGGTTGGCTGACAAATTGAAAATGAAGTTATTGGTGCATTTTCAGAAGAGGCAAAACATTCATTAACAATTTACTGCAATAGAAGACTGTGGACTCACGGCAGAGCACAGTGTGCAGCAGTGACCACAAAGTCCTCACTAATGAGAAAACCTCCACATGCATGACGACCCWCTTTGCTTTGGACTGACACCATGTACTGCATCGAGTTCTCTGGGGCCATTTCCCCATGGATGATTTTACTCCCATGGACTAGGAAAACAAGTAATAGGCAAAATCAGAACAGTATAGTGACCCATTTTAAGCTTGAGAATAACTAAACTTGCATTTCTTACCAACTTGCCAAAGACATACGAGAATGTGAAGAAGCAGAAGTTGACCCAGACCATGCATGATGCTGGTGGTTCCAGTCTGTGCTCACAGGAGTGATATACCAAACTTTTGTATGAAAGTTTGCTCTGCTAGCAAGCGCCAATAGGAAAGTGTAGATTAGTTTAAGATCAAACCACATCCTTTTTTAAACAGAGAAGTTTGACTGTTTCCTAATTCCATAATCTTTCTTAATCTTTAGGCTTGCATTGGTCTACTGTACATGCTAAAGCATGCTGAATTAGGAGTGTAGCATGAGTTTATTTGTCACATAATGTCCTATTTTTATTGCTATTTCCTGCTTTTTTAAGTTTTTGTAACCCTTAAAAAAGTACTCCCTGCCCATGACTGGAATGACCAGTCTACCATTGCCTTTTTCATGTTCATGATAAACTGACAACCAGGAGGTTGTGTCAAAGCTCAAAACGTTACACTAAAATCGTCACATCACATTTATTTTATAGTCAGATGCCTACAGCGCCTGTAAAGATCCTGCACTAGAGTAAAACTGTGCAATAGTAAATAGCTCAGTCTTGAATACCAGCTCTAACTAAAACCTGAAAGCCTAAGTTAGGCCTATTCAACTAAAGTGCTCCGGGGGCCACAAGTTACAGCAGGCCAACAGCTGAGGGGCCGAACATTCAGCAATTAAAGTCATTGTGTAAATAAATCATGGATCACAAAGACCTGYTACCTTTAAATTAGTTAATTTTGCTGCATTTAATCATGAAAACAACATACAGAACCCCATGTAATATCAGTAGGGAAAATAAAACAATAGCAAAAACAAAACAAAGAAAAACATTATGCCTCCTGTTTAACACAAATATTATTTTGACATCTCTGACCTGCCAAATGTTTAAACCAATTTTATTTTCACTTTCATAGTTTTATCTTCAATTGCTTATAGTTTGAATTGTCTCTGGTGTTGATAGAAATGGTTTTTACCAGTGTTATGGAAATATTTATTTAACAAAGACAGAGATATGTGGTCCAAGAATGAAGGCACTTCGCGGCGTGGCATGGAGGCAAATGAAGTTAAGACATTAACTTAGGTTCGGGAGCAGGACCACGCCTCTCACCTGCAGCAATCAGTCGTCGTCTATTTAAACTCGCCTCACCTGGAGTCTGCCCTTAGCTCGCTGTCTCAACACCCACCCTCCCCTTTCACCCCACTTAAGCCCCTCTGTAAGGCCTCCTTGTGTCACCTTCTTCGCTCCCTTCATCCCTTCCTCATCCCTTCGTCCCTTCACCCTTCCCTCATCCCTTCCTCCCTTCCTCCCTCCCTCGTCCCTTCATCCCTTCATCCATCCCTCATCCCTTCATCCATCCCTTCATCCCTTCATCCCTCCCTAGTCCCTTCATCCCTCCCTCATCCCTTCATCCCTCCCTCATCCCTTCATCCCTCTCTCATCCCTTCATCCCTTCATCTCTGCTTCTTTCTTTCTCCCCCATCCCTACCTCAAACTACCTCCTAATCCATTCCTTTTCAGGTTCCAGCTGGGGGGYCCAAAGCAGGCTMAGGAAAGCATCCTTCCTGGAGACTATGCCCCACTCTGAGTCTTCTCCTCAAGCCTCCTTCGACGTAACTCCCCAGACGCCTCATCATTCATCCCACTACCCTTCGACCCCTTCCTTCAATAAAATTTTTAAACTCTTACCGTGGTGTGGTCCTTGCTAGTGAATCAGCCTGTGGCACTGCTGAGGTGTTGGAGGCCCAGGATGCTTCGATAGTGGCCTTAAGCTCATCCAGAGTGTTGGGT